AGTTTCTGTAATTTAAGATTAAAAACCCTTTTGTTACAAGTTACCTGTGTCAGCTCTATAATCCCTCTGTAATGAAAGCTCTCTTTTCTTTCCTTTAATATACTTCTACCATGTACATTTTTGTTTTTGTTGCTTATTTTTTCACATAAAGTTTATATAGCGCCAATTCACAACACATCATCTCAAGGCACTTTACAGTTCACCAGATCATACAGTCTAATTGATTCAAAGTTTTATATCTAAGGAAAACCAGTTGATTGCATTGACTCTTTGACTCAAATGCAATCCCTCACACTAAGCATACTTGTAGTGACAGTGGAGAGGAAAAACTCCCTTTTAACAGGTAGGTACCTCCAGCAGAACCAGGCTCAGTGTGAGCGACCATCTGCTGAGGCCGACTGAGGTTCAAGGAAACAGAAGCAGAGACACAAAAGGCAACTGTAAGGAAACACACAGCCAGGCAGACAAGCTTTGAGCCAACTCCCATGTCAGAGGATGAAGAGAGCACATCCAGCCAGTCATAGGCAGAGAAACAGGACTACACTGAAAAACAGGCTGATATTTCTCTTCAGGATGGTGTCACAGCCAAACTGGAAGCTACTACGAGAAAAAGCAGAGAGAGCACAGCATTAGAGATTGAACTAACAGATTCTGCAGAGTGGGAGAATAGAGACAGAATGAATCAGAATCATAAAATAGGGGTCCCTATGTCCTCCAGCAGTCTTAGCCTATAGCAGAATAACTATAGAGATAGCTCAGGATAACCTGAGCCACTCTAACTATAAGCTTTATCAAAAAGGAAAGTTTTAAGCTTAGCCTTAAAAGTAGACAGGGTGTCTGCCTCACGGACTAAAACTGGTAGTTGGTTCCACAGAAGAGGAGCCTGATAACTAAAAGATCTGCCTCCCATTCTACTTTTAGAAATTCTAGGAACCACTAGTAAACCTGCAGATTGAGAGCAAAGGGCTCCGTTAGGAACATAAAGAACAATCATATCTCTGATATAAGATGGAGCATGGCCATTTACATATCTGTTAATTCAAGCAAAATCCATACTAGCATAAATACTGTTGGAACGAAGAATAAAGCTTGCTTTCTTCATTTAGCGCTAATGGGGCAGTAAGTAAGGTAAGTTGCACATCTGTCTGGAAGGTCAGAGGAGGAGGGAAAAGACTAAAACATGTCCTACTGCTTTTATCTTTGTAACTCATGGCTCTTTCTTGGGAACAGGCCTCAAGATACAATATCTTTAAATCTGCTTGTGTGGCTAAAAAATTGCCTTAAGACCTGTTTTCCCAATAACTTGTTCTGTACAAAAAAGAAAAAGGCAGCAAATAAACAAATACATGAATAAATCCAGGGGACCCCAAAAGTCTTGGTTGTATGGCTGCCTGGAGCACGTGGCACACAGAGACCTCTTTAAATGGTATACAGACACACATCCATATTAATTAGCTACTCATGTTAATTCTTAAAAGGTTCATAGTCTTGCGCTAGTGGCTACTGGGTTACACTTGAGTATATTAAGGTCAAGACAATCATTTGGGGTAAAATCACAATAAAATATTAAAAAAGGAAGTAATGTGCCAGCTGGGCCGCCCTCTGGGTATGTTCTACTGTATCTTTGGCATTTCTTTCTAGCTGCACTTAAGCAAAGCAGTTCTGCCGTTCTGTTATCTTCAGGGCGACAGTGAAGAAGGAACGCAACTCTCAGGAAATTATTCTGATGTTTTTCTGGACTTGTTAATCACTTTGAGGTCTGTCTGGGTAATGTCTGCAGAGTTAAAATACTTCATACTTGCTGTTGACTTTTCCAAATTCGAAAAATGCAAACATGAAAGACAAAACAATACTAAAAAATCAATGACCATTTAGAAACTTCAAGATATTATCTTGAGTTATTCCTTTAAAACAAAAAAAAACTGTTCACAAAGAATAATAAAGATAAAATTCAGATTTTTTTTAAATAATCACTTCCAGTTTATAGATCAGTTTTTGTGCAAAATATCTCATTTTATAGGAATTGTAGGGTTTAAAACAATGTTTTTAAGGATCATTTATAGTAGTTACTCAGTGGTTCAGATATTTAGCTTGAAACAATCGATTACACCTCAAAAAGTAGACACTTTTATCCACTGCAGTAATAACTTTTTAAGTATTAAGATACAGAGCATGTCCTTTGACAGGTGTGAGACCTCCCCTGGTTTTCATCACTATTAACTCATACTTTGAGAATGGTAATCTGCACCTCTTTAAGAAGATCGGCTCATGACAAACATTCATCAACATTCATGTTTTGAATACAAAGAATAGAAAATGATCTTTTATTTATCAAAGTTTAAGAAAGCAAAATAATTTCACTTAAGAGCTTAGATCTGTTTCATTAACTATTATTTATTTGTAAGATTTTAAAAGTAAAATGAAAATAATTGATGCAATAGGATTTTGTATCTCTGCATTCTATATGTATAACGTACCTTTAATAGCCTGTTTTGTGAATGTTATAGCATGATACCCCAAATGCACTTGGCACCTTTAACATGTCTGAAAAAATGCAACTCTGACCTCACAGTAAGGTTACTTAATTTCATGTAATGCTATGCAGATGCTCTGTCTGTACAGATGAAGATTGACTTACCTTGTCATGTCTGCCGCTTGCATTAACTGACTAGGCAGGAGAGTTTAATTTCACAGGCTGTGTATTGAGCAGTTGCGTTTTCTTGAAAGTCAGGTGATCATCACAATAACAAAAATAAATATAAGTTAGAGAGTAAACCAAAATAACCCATTTAGTCTTCATGCAGCAGCACACTAAAGATTTTACACCCATCATCCGGGAATGATGCAAACAAAGAAACAAACTTGAAATGAGTTATTGTTGAAAGAAAATCAGTTTTCTTTGCATTTAGATCTAGACCAGCATAGAGTGTATGTACAGTAGGGATAGACTGTATGGACACATAGCTTCATTATATTGTGTAGTATTGCTTGTGATAGTGGTAATAGTGAAAAAAAAACTGTCTTTACAACTTCTTTGCAGTCCCATAAGCAGAGCAAACTCAAATACTGCTCTCAGAATACATACCTCTGAATATTGCTTTTTGTTGCTACTTTTCAGCACTTCCACATTACATAAAGTAGTTGGATACTTCTCACTTAATTCCACACACTAAGTTCATTTGATAGTTTTACGTTATTTATTTCTGCAGTCAGTTTACACCAGTGGGAAAAATATTCGAATAGTATCATTTTTTTAAAGTTTTCTGAAACCCTTAACTTGAAACTTTTGTTTGACAATAAATCAAACTTTTAATCACAATCACATTTTTTACAGTGATAAACTATACAATAACTTCCCCTACCTAAATCCACAGTATAACAGTCACAAAAGCATTCTTTTTCAATGGCGCTGGTGTGGATGATTTGTTGCGGACAGGGATCGAATCATACCTTACAGAGTGACCGGTTTTATCAGACCAGCTGTATCATTTTCTGCAAGGTCATTAATTGCATATTGTGCAAATATCCTAACTAAGAAAATATGAAAGGTCATTCAGTTTTGATTTATTTAGCATATCATTTATTCATTTCTGCTTCTTTCCTTTGATGGCGGTCATGCATTTACAGGTAGATATCACGATTTTACGCGTACACACCACTTCTGGGGTGAGGAGTTTGTAAGATAACACAAGATTCCGATTTGAGAAAGAGGCCCTTTGATCCGTCTAAAGACCACTTAATTTTAGAAACACCATGTTTTAAATGAAATCACTTTGTCTGACATAATTCAGCAATTGCAGTTTTCATTGCAATGACACAATCAGGGATAATCAACAAACAGCAAAACAGAAGTTGCATCTTCATGCTTATCTGAATACAAGTGGCCATTTTATTGTCCTAGAAAACAGATGAGTCTCTGCATACTGCTAGTATTTTAATACTTCTAAATTAGTCATTGATTCATTATTTGTGTTGAATTGATTCTAAAAACTGTTTAAAAACCCAAATGTCACAGAATTTGACTTCAATACTTAAACTTCAATACTAAATTCTACTCTTGGGGTTTAAACTGTGGAAATGTATGTCTCTAATCTTATTAAATACTAAATAAATAGTGATCTTAGTGTAGTTTCATTCTTGGGGGCAATTAAAGCATATGAGAACAAGTAATGTGAGGTAAAAAAAATTATAATTGTATAAGGTTTGGGCAATGGTACGCAGCTCTGAATATGACAGGTATACAAGGTTGAACATTTAGAAGTTGTTTAACCTCAATTTGCATCTAATTGGCCCTATCACAATAATATTTATTTTTACTTTATTCTGTTTACGTAGTTATCTTTTAGCTCCTACTTTATTCAAATCACATACCACCAAAGCTTAATGAGGCAAAGACAGTTGTGGACGAGGCCAGTTTAAAAGACATGCCTAGTGTTATTCATCTTACAAGACAGTAGTTCAGATTTTATGGGATAACACTTAAATTACATAATAACTACTAATTGAAAAACAAAAAAGATATTTTGTTAGTCAAATCTAGAGATTGTTTTCATCAGATCAGATTTAATGCTGGCCTCAAGACTCCATTTGGTGTTTTTCTGCTGAATAACTGAAGGGTGAAATTAGAATACGAACTGAAGTGGTACATTTTAATTTTTTAATTCTCATTTGGAGCCAAAGTTAGTAAACAAATTCCAGTCTGAAATCAAAAGAAAAAAATCTGCAGCCATAGAGTCAAGAGTCAGTTCTGCAGTTTAACCACAGTGGGGCGTGGTTTCCTTAGGCTTCAAGCAGGGGGGCTCAGCAGCCCGTGGGTCACAGTGGAAGGCACATTCAGGATGGCTGAGTAGCCAACAGGCACAGTATCAGGATATTGAGGTTTAGATTTTGGGCCTCCATCCCTGTATGAATTGTGTGATTTTAGTCACATGGAGACGGCTCAGGTGGAAGTCATGTGACAGAATGTCCTCAGTCAGCTGCACCAAAAGGCTGCCGTCTATTCGCTCCCTCTGAAAGATGGCGATTGCTGCCTCTGGTAGGCCAATAAAACGCAGGCATGCTGAGACTTCCTCCAATGATAGTACAGAAAGGTCAGTAGGAGGCCTCCAGGTGGAGTCAGGTGGAGGAGAGGATCCATCAGTCCTACTTGTTGATGTCCCACCGCCTTCTGCGCCTCTGGAAGAATCATTCGTAGGATTGGTAACAGTTTCGGGTGAAGGGCAAGGCGACTGGCGGTTAAACGGGTTTAACGCGCCAAACGGTGCAAATCTGCTCTGTGGGGGTGGTGGCCTGAGCCGAGGTGTGGGGGATGTGAAGGGCTCTACCCACGGCTCGGCCCAGGTGGCCTGTGCAGGCTGTGGGCTAGATGTGTTGTCTGCAGAGACTCCAGAGCCCGGATCAGGAATGGCTGGATTAGGAGCAGGACAGTCAGTCCAGGAACAAGGGTAACAGTAGAGGGTGGCGCCCGGGGAGGGCGAGGAGCTGGCACACAGACACATACACACAAACATTAGGAATCATGTTATTAACATTAAATTGGAAGCTATAGCTGGATGAGAACATATATGAACTACATTTACATTTCAGCTCTAAAAACCCCTGCGAGGAACTTTGTGTTAAAGGAAATTTGACATTAACAGTGGGTGATAAAAAGATGATGATATATATCACATTATAATAAACAAAAATAAAAAATATGTTCAATAATTACTGGAAAAAAAGGTCTGGAACTAGTTTGGATAGAGTCTTAGCCATTAGCTCCCACTGCTCTGTTAACTACATGCAAAGTAGCAAGCTTGGCTTTCTTAACTGTACTGTTTTAAAACTATAGCCAATAGTTAGAAGGAATGAGTCTGAAGACATTGTCGACAAAAGAGGAAGGATATCAATTCAATTCAGTGTATTCATAAAGCACCAATTCACAACACTTGTCATTTTAAGGCACTTTACAGAGACAATTCAAGCAGATCATACAGTCAGATGGTAAAAAGTTTGTTATCTAAGGAAAACCAGCTGATTGCATTAACTTATTGACTCCAAATCAATACCTTTACACCAAGCATGCATGTAGCGACAGTAGAGAGGGAAAACTGCCTTTTAACAGGACGAAAGCTCCAGCAGAACTGGGCTCAGTGTAAGCAGCCTTCTGCTGAGGCCGACTGGGAAGTATTTGGATATTTGAACTCAGACAAAACTCAGAGCGATGCTGTCTGGAAGCTATGTCCACTTAAAGTGTCAAACAAATCAATCACCTGAGCCAGTCTCATCCACAAGTTGCAAAAGACCAAAAAGGTACATGGTATTGACGCCATATGATAAAATCATTGATAGATAAAATAATTATTTGCTGAATGTTTTGCACATTTAAACTTTTAAAAATATATTGGATCATCATTTATTGTTCTTTTATTCTATTTTAAATGGTTAAAGCCAAAGGTTTAATTCAAAAGGAATCCCTTTAAGGTAAATCAAGCCTTTTTCTCCGCCTAGTCCTTATTTTGCATAGTATTTAAAAAGCTTCAATTATTGCTTCAATCAAAGCTTCAATTCGAAACCTTATATTGTGGTATGCTTTTTAGGTCGCCCAAACTTATTTTGTTAACACTTTTTACATGTCAGAAACCCATTAAAGCTGTGATAAGCATTTTGCAAAGACAGTTTTACCTAAATAATAGGGAGGCAAGGTATCAAATTCGTAAAAAGGAAGAATAATATCAATCAATTCCTGAGGTTTACTGTATTAATAATTTCATATTTAGCATGTTATTAACTATTAAAGACTATAAATCCCAGATTTCACCTGGAAAGAAAAAGGACACTTAATACCTGCAGACCCAAAATACATTGATCTATTACAGGTTAAAGACATTGTGAAATCATAGTATCCAGTAGAGAAGCATTCCGTCTTATTTACCTTAGTGTTGCTACTCTGTCTTCAAATATCACTAAACATCTTTGATATTATTTTCTTTTTGTCATCTTATGCATCATCTTTGCTTTGTTTTTACAGGATTGGAAAAGGAACCCAATTTTTTCTGAAGCTAATCTTTGGTTGTCTTTTTTTCTGATAGTGTTCTTTCTTTGGTGTAAATGGATACTAATGCAGCAAAAAACATTTTTTTATTTTCTTGTTATCTGAATAACATTGAAAAGCGAAAAAAATCCACATGTTGTCAAACTTTCCAGTTAATATTCTACAGCCTTTATTCCCCAAATAATCATAACTTAAAAATAATTGCTATAACACCTTGATACATTTCCATTTTAAATATATATAAAAATGTGTTTGTTTATTTAGCATGAAACAAACTTAAATTTCTGACACTCTGAACTGGCCCCTGAAACCTGAAATACTCTTAGCTTTAGCTTTTTACTTTTATTCTTGTACGTTACTGCACCTGTCATGCAGTCCGGAGGAGTAGAAGGAGAGGTTTGATCTTGGAGAAGTGGAGGTTTTAGGGAACCGAGGTGGCACAGGAGGGCTGGGGACTGGACTGGAGATGGAGCCTCCTTTAGAGCAGCGTGGTGGCACCGGAGGGGCGAGCAAGTAGCGACACTCCTCCCTCACCTGCATGAAAACACGCATACATCAGCAAAAAAGATAACACCCAGCACTTCTCAGGGGGTTATGTAATTCTGTGTGTCGTCTTGATAAATGTCAAACTTGGTGACCTTTACACCTCAAACAAACTCTCTTACACACACAGCAGGCTTCACACATACTTCCAAGACAACCCATTGTTCTGGCAGGCTAAATATCAGGAATGAAGAAGACTGTTTGAGAGGCTATAATTAAGTTGCTAAGCAGATATCTTCACCCACACAGGCCTCTCAGAAAGAAAAAAGTTATATAAATAAAACAAAAGCATGATAATGCCCCTTTGAGACACCCTTAAACACATTAACGTGCTGAGAAAAAAAATTACTGAAACTATAAACTATGCGTTTAAATAATATACATTATTTAATTCTCTAATATATCATCCATTTTAGCCAGAGGCAGAAAAATAAGGTTATGAAATGAGAAATATTTCTGACTGCATGTGTAAAAGTTAATAAGACTTTCAGTATGAATAAATTGACCATTCCGTTTTTTCTTTTCATCCCATCGTCTCGTTTCTTGTCTTCCATCCCCTTTTCCTCCCTACTCCTTCCTTCCCTTCTTTCTTGCTTCCTAAATACACCTCTTTTTTAATCCCGATCTGTCCTTGATAATTTCCTTTCTCTCCTGATACCTTGCATCTGTACAAATATGTTATTAGGGGTGTTGACCTTTCTCAAAAGGTCTCTCCCATCTTGTAACCCTTTTCCCTGTCTGCATACTTTCAAAAATAACTAAATAAAGGCGTCTAGAGACTAAAAAAACTTTTGTCTTAATGATTTATACAGATAATAGCTTTAGGCAGGGATAATCTTCTGTAGTGATTTGTTTCGCACCAGATCTGGAGAAGCTTTTGACTGAAAATGTGTTGCCATTTCTTAAATTTATGGTCACTATTACCCATAATATTCCTCATTTTATAAATAATTTTTCTTTGTGTTTCTAGATGACTTTCAGCCAGCCTTCCTCATCAACTCATTGCATTTGCCAGGCTGAGTTGTGTTGAATGCACTGGAGAAATTACAAAACATGATCCTCTACCTTGTCTAAATGACAGTTGGTTCATTGAGGCAGGTGTATGATAGCATATTTAACTCCAACTCCATGGCTGTAAGCAATAGTAGATGGGCCAACAGGAATCTCTGTAGGACCTTCATTATGTGGGCTGTCAGGGCAACAGCTTTACAGTCATTAAGGACTGTTATGCTGATGAAGATTCTCGGTCATCCAGGTCATAGTCATTCCGTAAAAGTTCAAAGAATATCCACTGGACTTGGTTTCCAAGGTTTGAAGACGTTTCGCCACCTCTCCAGGAAGCTTTCTCAATTCAAATGTTGTTGTTCAAATGCATTTGAATTGAGAAAGCTTCCTGGAGAGGTGGCGAAACGTCTTCAGATTTTGGAAACAAAGTCCAGTGGATATTTTTTGAACTTTTACGGAATTAAGGACTGTTGGCTGAGTTTTCTTTGGTATTGGAACAAGACAGGAGGTATTCCAGTTCACTGGAACCGTCTCCTCGGTCAGACAGAGTTAGATGAGGTGCTGAAGAATCCAACAGAGCTGCTATGCACAGGTCTTCAGAACTCCATCTGGACCTTGGGTCAAAGGAGGGTGTGATGGGAGCAGGAGAGAAGGTTGCTGAGCGTAATCCTGAACTGAAGCTACTGAAGTATGTATTCCATTCAATGGCTCTGTCCAGACTTCCATCTGTGGGGATAATGTTATCGAAAAAGGAAGCTCATATAGTTGGTCACACATTCAGGTTCTGCATTGATATATCAATGTCTGAAGCCTCAAAGCGACCTTGCTGGGCTTCTTTAGCCTTTTGTGGTTGCCTCTTATAAAAGGGACTATACTCTGAGCAAAGAAAAGTAAGACTGTGGTCACAATCCAAAGTTTAGTGTTCTCTGGAACAGGAGCTGACAAAGTGTTAAAACACTTGGAATGTAGCAGAGAGTGAGGTGTGAGAAAGTTCTAGTTATTACCACAAATGCATTTGGCTGTTTTCATCAGATTCTCAACAACGGAATAGATGACGTCTCACGACGTGTTGGCAACAGCAGAAGGTGAAATGTAATCTGTTGCCAAAAAACAGCTTCCCTACTCTGTTTCTCTTCCCCATCCCATTTCCTTCCACCGACTTGGTTTGCTTTTTTCCCTCTCTTTGTTCCTACCTTTCTTTTTTATTATTAGTATCATCCTTCTTGTCTCCTAACTTCTGTATTTTCCATTTTTAAATCTCTCTTCACTCATTACTTCCCTTTCCACCTGTTGCTTCCATCATCCTTCTTTCCATACTTCATGCTCTTTCCTTTTGTTTTTTTCTCTTTGCTCCTGTCCTTTATTCCCTTTCCCTCTCATGATTCCTTCTTCACTTCTACCATGAATTCCTTCCTTTCAGTCTTGTTTCCTTTTTTCTTCCAGCAGGTGGAGGTAATATACGGACTTTAATTAACCATTCTCTGAGGAGGAATCAATGCAAGGCATCTCTCTATGATCCTTTAATCGTTTCTAGTATGCTGAGATGGGTGTCTCAGTGTTTGCCTTTATTGACCAGCCTCAGCACTTACTGGAAGTCATGCTGGAAATAAAACAAATAAATTCAATAACCTTAGATAAAACAAATTTCCACCTTAATAATAAATTCACACAACTCACAATCAGTGTTGGAACCTTTGGGCCAAACCTGCTGTTTGTTTCCCTTTTAAATATCCCTTCTCATTCTAAGCACAGTTTCTGTATAGAGGAACCTTTCTGGGAAAACAGTTTGTCTCCGTTAGTGTTCATGGAGCTTTAAAAGCTCTTATATATGAATTATTCAAGCATTTAGACTTTTAAGGGCCGGATGCAGTTATGGAGGGATGAAACAGATCAAAGACAGATGAACCCAGGAAGGGACAGTATATGATGACACTCACAGCATCGGATTTTGGAGGTATAGGTGGTGGGCTAGACACTGTTGTCACCATGGTACCAAGAGAACCGTCCAAAGAGGAAGACGTGTGAAAGGATATAAGGTTTGGTTCTTTTCCCAAACTCTCTGCGTTCTGATTGGTCCAGAGTTCTTCATAGGGGATCTCCTCACTGGTCCTCAACTCATCTTCACTCCACTCAGGAGTCACATACTCCCTCTCATCGCCAGGTCCCTCCCCCAGCCGCTCTCCTACAGAGTCCCTGCAGCGTTGTGATAGGTTTTCTGAAACCCCACCTACGTATCCACACATTGAGAAGCGCTGCAGTGCCGGGGCCAGCGAGTCTTGACCTGACACACACAGGCGAGAGCGCCGAGGGCTCACACACTCCTCTGTCATACACTCCAGCTCTGGCCGCGTTTCTCGAACGGCCCGCGAGTAGGCGTCCGGGTCGAAGGCGTGCCTCAGCAGGAGGCTCTCTAGAGCTGCTGTATGAACAGAAGCCTCCGCCACGTTAAAACGGGGCATGCAGCGCAGCAGCAGGAAGTGTGAGGGGGAAACTTCCTGTCGCCGAAGAACCAAACACAGCACCACTGTCTTGCTGACGATGTTGAGCAGCTTGTAACGGTGTCCTTCTCGCACGGCATGGCGGTCGTAGATGTTCCGCGGCGGCCGGGAAGGCACAGAAACGTTAACAGGCAGGCGAACTCTCTCAATGATGCTGCGCACTGTATGCTCCCCTCCCAGCATGCCTTGCTCCAGGGGGGAACGCGTACAAAAGCGTCCCCTGCAGCCAAAGGGCAAACTGACACTCTGGTTGGTGCGATGGTTCATACACACTAGACAGGGTGTTTTACCTAAAGGATCAGAAAAAGCAAGAGTGTAAAGAACCGATTGAAGACAATCTTTATGGGTAATGCTTTAAACCTTAGCTTAAAAAGGGACCTTAAAGTTTATCTAAATGACGGATATCTAAAGGAAACTTTTCAAGACTTAGAGTTACTTTCTTTGCAACTTACATTTAAATTTAATGGTATGTTAGATACGTTAAACATAATTTTGTTTTCTTATTGTAGCGTTTCCTTGACTGTGCCTGTTACATTTTTTATTTGTAAATAAGTTACAATATATGACATCAACACAGAGGTTGCAGCAAAATAGCTCTCCTGGTGGCATTGCTTTGGATATATTGAAAGGAATAATTTGATTTTAACCCTTACGTCTTAAAAAAGAGAAATGCATTAAAAAAATAAATCATCAGACGATGTAAACGACATATACTTTCAACAATCACTGAATATTCAGCGTTGCTATGTTCATAACACTGATGTAAACTGTAGATGAAATTGTTGCAAGAAAACCAAAGACTGATAATTTGCAAATGATGAAAAATGGTACAAATAATATAAATGAAACATTAAGAATGACAAACTAAAAATCTATTGAATTCAGAGTTTCAAAACACATGTACATGTTTACCAGTGGGTTGCATCAGCTCGTCTTTACACAGGATTCTAAGAATTTGGGAGCTCTGGAGACATGTTTATGTAGTTTCTAAAGTGAGATGTTTTCTCTGACAGTCTTTTTTCGGGCGGTTTAGCCTCAAGCAGGCAATGTTCATGTTTTCCAAAAAGAATTTCACATTCATCAGGTATTAAGACAGTTTTTTTTGTCCCACCTCAGCCCATTTAAGACGAGCTGAAGCCAAGTGAAGGCAGGGGCCTTTCTGGATAGTGTTTAAAGATGTGTTTTTTCCTCACATGGTGAAGTTTAAACATTTTTTATTAATGCAGTGCAGCCTGAGGGCCTAAAAATCACTACCATTAGAAATTGATTCTCAGCAGTGTCCCTTGTGTACAAAGATCCTCCCAGATTTTCAGAATCCTCTTATAATGTGCTGAAGATGATGAAATTCTCAAAATCTTTGCAATTTCTATTGACAACTGTTTTTCTTAAATTGCAGAACTGTTTGCTCATGAAGTCTTTTTTTTTTTTTTTTTACAAAGTAGTTAATCTTTCTTATAAAAGAGAGATGCGTCTATACGCTGACCCCTAACTTATCAGCATTAAATTGATAAAAAGAATAATATTCAAGGAACAATATGTTTTGTTTCTTAATATCAGATAAATTGTGTGTATTATATAATATATAAAAACAATGCATTTAACTAATGTAAAGTCAAGTAAACAGTGTTTCTAGATTTAAAGTGGGTTTTGAATCTTAGCTCTTCGCACCGCTTTTTGGATTTATTTTTTTTAAAAACAGTATTACACCTTTCGGTGACAGGATGTAAACTTTTCCAAACAAGTCCAGACTCTGCATATAGACAAATAGAGAAACAAAGAAAAATAATCTCTCAGTTCTGCCTGTGGGTTACTACATCAGTTTTTAGCTCTGTGTGCATCAGATATCCTACAAACTTGAATTCAACAGTTCGACTTACTTCTTGGAGTCTTTCCCAACCGTCTCAAGAGTGCGCTCAGCCCCGTCTTTTCTTTTGGGGGTGTTGCACACAGGAGCTCTGCCTTGCCCATCAATGACAGTTCATCTCCAGCCTGCAAAGTGAAGCTGTAGGGCTCGCTGTCCTCACTGAACTCCCCAGATACCACCTGGAAGAGAACAGCTTTCCCATGAACATGACAGTAAATCCTTGTTAGCTCTGAATGTCGGGTTTTAAACTGTTCTGTAAAATCAAACACTGAATTCAGGCAACCCACTGTTGAATACAGTTTTCTAGACATTTTACGTTACTATTGAGTTCACAATAGAATTACAGATTATATTTCAATGGAAGTAAACTGGATGGATGGATGGTGGGAGGGAGGGGCAGACTGGTGTTCACCTTGACACTGAATGTGATTGTCTCCATGACGAAGACCCGGTCAGGGAAGACTCCAGCAACTTCCTCCACACTGGAGAAATATTGGACAGGGTCCCTGACGTCTCGGTCCTCATCCAGTAACTTGAATTTACCTGAAGAGCAACATTAAAATGAGAAAAAGATGAAAGGCAAATTTCAAATGACCCCAGAAGACACAGAGAGAAAAAAACTTAAGGACAAAAGCAGAGGAAGAGGAAAAAAAAAATTAGGAATGAATAGTTTCTGCAAAAGCAAGTAACATCTACACTGTTTGCACGGGAATACAAAGACACCTCACTGACCTTTGACCTGGCACCAGCCCACAGCTAACTAACAGCCAATGGGGTTGGCATGGCAACCAATAAAAGCCCCCCATTTTAACTCAGAGCAGAGACAGATCACCATGGAGACACTCACACACAACTCTTTCTCTTAGGCCATTGCTTTCCTTTTCTCACCCTCTGACTGTAATCTTTATGAATTCAAGTTCACGCAGCTCATTTTTGGAGCTTTTTTCAACTTGATTTGATTTTGAACATATGGATGCAACAAATTTCATATATTCTACACCAGTTTTAATGTGAAACCCCATTCAAAAACAACACTACCTTTATTGATCACTTTACCAAATTTTCTTTAAACAATTAAATGCCTTAATGGAGTGTCCATTTTTATATATATATATATATATATATATATATATATATATATATATATATATATATATATATATATATATAAAGTATCTATATCTATTGAAAAGACCAAAGTGTTCTTTCTTGATTTGGGAGGTAGAGCAGAACATCAAGCACACAATTTTCTAACAGCCCTGCCACCCTCCTCTTAAATCACGATAAACCTTAAGGAAAAGCAGCTTCTATCAAACAAACAATACAAGGAAAATACTGCAGTTTTGCCAGGGATTTTTCTGATTTTTGAAACTTAAGGGTTGCTCAGTGTCGCAGTAGGTAGCACTGCTGCTTTCCATCAAGAAGGCTCTGGGGTTGATTCCCGGCCCAGGGTCTTTCTGCATGGAGTTTGCATTTTCTCTCTGAGCATGTGTGGGTTCTCTCTGGGTACTCCGGCTTCCTTCCACAGTACAAAATCATGACTGTTATATATTAAATTATTACAAAAGACCAATTACTGGTATGCAAAAAAAAGTTTTTTTTTTAGATTAGTATTTTAGAAAGAGTTTTTTTTTAATTGTTTTTTTTATTACATTGCAGATTGTAATAAAACAACAGAAAGAAATAATTTGGGGCAAATTTTAGAGCTGGCGGAAATTTAAACCTTACTCTTAGATGATAAATTGACATAACTTTAGTTTAGAAATAATAATCACATTTACCCAATTAATGCTGCCCTCATGTCATATTGTAATTATAGTAAATACCAAAAACTGACATCAAATTGCATACAAACACCAACTAATGTTGGAATTTCTGCTGGAAAAATTCTGTTAATGGAGTTTCCGAGATGAGGTAAACTTTGACCTTTCAACAATGAAATGATTCTGTACGGTGAATACTGCATCGTTCAGCGTTATCTCCTGTGATGTTTGTACCCCACACAATGCTGTGACATCTATGTATATTTTTTAATATATCACAATTTAAACTGTATCACTTCTGAAATGACTTGTTTGATTTTATCAAATGCTCGCTAGCAGTCAGTTTTTGATGAATCATCTTCTTCCTGTAGCAGATGATCAGCAGGTCAGGATAATCTGTGGATCCAACATGTTTCTCTTGTGTTCAAGGGTTTTTGTGTTCACAAACCCTTGAACACAATGCACATCTTATTTCCACTTTACAAGTGGAAAATATCTTTATCGGACCAAATCAGGCAGCATGAATGTAATCAAATTTTAACATGAGTATCCTGATCTGTCTTGTTTTATTCCACTCCCATAGCTGCTGATTGATGATTGTTTCCACCTGTGCCTCTGCTCATGCTGGCTGCTGATTGTTCCCACCTGTGCTGCTGTCTACATAAGCTCCTGTCTGCAGTCATTCAGTGTGAGACTGTCTGTTTCCATACCAACCACAGCTTTCAAGCATTCAAGTCTGCCAACTTGATTGGCTTAATCTTGTGACCTTTGCCTGAAGCCTGTTTGCTCCCCCACCCCCTGGGTGCACCCTACCCTTGCTATTGTCTTTGGATTCAGATGATGAGATTTCCACCTCACAGACTTTGGACCTAACCTTACCTCCCGTCTCTCATGGTTACTGGTTGTGTACTTTGAGCTCTGTCCCATTGGCATTTTTAGCCACCATTTTGGGGAAGCCTTCCCTGACCCTTAGGAGTAACAGTTGGACCATCTTCAGATTGATGCGTTTTCTCCAGTGGAAAGAAGCCATCTAATGCAGTGTTTTTCAATCCTGGTCCTCAAGGCACCCTGCTCTGCATGTTTTTGAGGTTCAGCACACCTGATTCAGATGATTGCAGTTCAGCAAAGCCTGATAATCTGCTATCAATTGATAACGGGTGTGTGAAAGCTGGAAAACATCTAAAACATGCAGGGCAGGGTGCCTTGAGGACCAGGGTGGAAATTACTGATCTAATGGTAACATTTTCCAATTCCTGCTCATTCTGCAACTCGTCAGACTGTCTTTTTGCAGACTTTGACAGGAAGCTGACTACCTTCTTTGGTCTCATGTCAGTATTGTGAATAAACTTTATAAATCTTCTCTGGATTGTGCTCATCTTTCTGGGTACAAAATGCATAAAAACAATTGTTTTACTAGTAAAATTCTGGGTCTTTTTATTTAAAGTCTGGAAAGAATAGAGTTTATCATGATAGCAAAACAAAAAAAAAATTATCTCAAATTAAAAATAGACTTAAGAACACAATACTTTTAAGATGGTCCAGCATCATTGTTCCATAAACTGCTACTTTTATGAAAAATCCCTTAAGGCAATTATTTCAGTATTACAGGAATGACTGTGTTGGAAAAACCTCAAAACCAAAGAATCAATCTGTACTTGTGTCATCGCTGACTCTCTAAGCAGGAGGAGGATGCAGACAGCCCGGATGAGAAGAAGGGAGACATCCTGCAGTCTATTCCCCAGAGGGAAACCTATATTGCTCTCATCAGAGGTTTATTTAGACTTCCTGTATGAAGTCATCCCCCAGACGTTAGCTCATCACTGTTGTCCTCTGATGCCAAAACACCTGCTATAATTAAAAAGCCCATAAGTGATCCTTGGGTGGTGCAACATCAGGTTTGCATAGCTCTACATGGTTCTTTCACAGTATAGATTAAAAAGGTGAGGCAGACACAGCCTAAACAAGCCACACATCATAGTGATATAGAAAGAGTCATTAAAACAAACAAATGTTCTTAAATCTGCATAAACATGCATTACCTCACCTGATGTCAAACAATTTCCGCTTTAATGTGTCACTCAAAATGATAATTGGTATCGATAATGATGCTAAATCTGATTATGCATCAATCTACAATTATCGCTCCACTTGGGAGGATATCAGAAATTACAATAAATCAATCTTTGGATGTGGTAGCATATCAAACAGTTTTTTTCCTATGAAAATATAGGATCTATTATAATATCATATATACACATAATATATTATTTGGATGTACATTTTTTTAAATAAAATAACTGAAAAAGACAAGCACCCCATTAAATTCTATGTTTTTAGAAATCAGAAAGTCTTAACACCTTTAATCTGTAACCCATGACCTTTTTCTAAAGATAAAAACCCAAGATATATCTTTTCGTATTAGCAACACTTCAAAATGTGAAAGAAAAAGAAACATGTCATATTAATAAGGCATATTAGTTTACAGAATATTACCCAAACTCCCCTACATCTGGTCAGAGTAATAAAAGGAGAGAGATCCCAAGTTTCTTTTGTCCGTTCACAAAGAGAACGTTTAGTGAGGCAATAGAAAATCTTCCCAAATTTCAACCAGGGATGCCGATAGAAGTATATGCTTATAGAAATTTGAGTTACTTTCTCTACGTTTAGTTTGAGTCTAATCAATGTTTTTTTTTTCTTGCCCTTGTCATAAAAAAGCAACAATTTACCTTTTATTTCAAAGCAAAATACACAAAACTTTAAATAACAAATATCGGTAGAGATGTATTATGCTTTTAACCAGATCAATAATTCCTGATTTTCAATGAATCTAAAGATTTAGATGTTTTTGTTTCATGAACCTATGAAAAAAAATTGTGTTTTTGGTTTTCAATGCAACAGAAAATAAAGTAATAAGATTATCCTCATTTAACCTGTATCTGATCAGTATTAAAATCAAACAAATGGAACAAAGTTGGTTGATAGTTCAGATCTTAGTTTGGATTGGAGTTGTGTTAAATTGGATCAATAAAAAATGTCAGTACTATTTATGGACATTTAAATTACATCAGTTTCAGTGAACCTCAGTCTTTTCCCCCCTTCTATAACTGAGCTTTAACATGTCAGCCAATAAAAACACACATCAGCTTTGTGGACTTTAAGGGCCCTCAAATATTGTGGATGTGGATCTCAGGAAGCGACATTTGAAATATATTATCCAAGGAGTCCTTTGCACTTGAAATAGGGGCACACTGAAATTACAACAATGGAAAGTCAATAAAGCTGTAGATTTGATGCATTTGAAGAATAAAGGGGGAAAAAAATCATATTTATTCAATATAAACTGAGGCAGCCTGGTAAAAACACAGATTAGAACTTTGAAGGCTTGATGCTGCCCTTTACTTTTACCCTAAAAGTAATTTTAATGAGAACCATTGATTCCATTGGAAAATAGGTTATTTTTAGCATTAGTTTATTTTCAATGTGAAACAGTGACATCTCTGACGATGATCTCAGCATCCCCCTCCCAAACGACTGCTCATTCCGTCTTCCAAAACGGAGCCTGAGAGGCGGCAGCAGTGTGAGGTGACATCAGCGCTGCATCAGAGGAGGAAGTGATGGAGATGAGGCATTAAGATCCAGTTACACAGCAAATAATGAGACTGTACTAAAAGGGAAGAATGGGATTGTGTGGATGAGCTCATCCTGACTACAGTCATTCAGCAGGAAGACCACAAGTCATTGAGCAGGAGGAGGATAGAGAGATCACATGGTAGCAGGTTGGATCTATGAATGAAAGGGCTGCAGCAACAGTATACATAATAAATGTGCATTATGGTTAAATGAGACTTGATTTTACTCAATGTCAGTGGAAATCTACATTAGACTTTTTAATTTTCAATCTTTATTTCATAAAACAATATTAGAATAATAGGTTTAATTTAAATAATGGATTTGAAATAAAGATAAAACTTGCTTGAAATAAAAATGTGCTTAATCGTATATTATTTAATTATTTTTACTTTTAGATCAAACGCAACCTTGATATATTGGGGTGTCACAAGAAAGTACAAAAACATACATAGTATTTCTGTTTCAATAGCAACCACAGTTTGTGAGCTTTAGCAGAGCATTTGCTGCAGCTTCAAAAAACAAAAAAGTTTTTATTTTTGTTTACTATAATTTCCATAAACTTTTAGCCACTCACCAGACAAGAAAATGAATCTTTTCTCTATGACCTTCACAGAGTTTAAATCAAGTTTTGGGCTGAACATTAAACTTGTTTGTTTTTCCACTGCATTGTTAAATTCTACCTAGAATCTTTGGATTTTTTTTCTCCATTCATTGTAAAAGTACATTTTGTTGACTAACGGTGTTTTAAAGACAGGATATGTGATGTGAATATGCAGCATTTTTTCATCGCTCTCATTTGTGCCTTTCCACTATTTTTCTCTGCATTTCCAATTATTAGGGAATCTATCAAAGACAGAACCTTTTTGTAAAATGTCTAAGAACTTATATAAACTTTATTTCTTACAGTATAACAACCCTTTGAACATAGCATTAACTTTTGACATTATCTTGCCCTCTTCAAACTAAATAAACCGAACCCTCTGGAATTGGAACAAGTGGAACATGTTGACCTTTAAGGAAAATAAAAATGAGTATTTTTAGCCGCGGACAGAATGGGACATTTTATAAACAATGGGTATTTTTAGCTTCTGATAAACTCTTGACTACTTGCTGCTTTCTTTGTCCATGAGAAACCAAACTAATAGTGAAACTTGATGTAAATGTGTTTGAGCGTCCACGCTTACCCTGGTACTGCAGCGGAATGTCAATCTTGGGCCCAATGACGTAATGACCCTCCTCTAAGCTGTGGGCCGTTACAGTGGTCCACTGACGACAGGAGTGCAGGAGCACTGTGTCGTCCTCTGACAGACCCTCCACACATTCGCCTGAAACACAGAAAACCAGAATATGTAAGAACTGAATGATGCAGGAATTACATTTCAGTGTTATACTTTCAATTTAAAGATATAGGATGGAAAACACTGAAAGAACCTCCGCCAGTGTTCGGTGTTCATAATCACCACCATTAGTGACGCCTCACCAGCCCTAACTGCTACTTATCAGGACTGTTTTTCAGCTGGCACCCTGCTATTAAACACCCCCTCCCTTCCTATATACACACACACTTACCCAACTGCATTGATCTCAGCTGATAGCACAGTGGGCCAATTCAATCACAGAAATACACATGCTGTTGAAAACAAGCATGTATGGACATTTATTGTGCTGAGATGTATTTGCTTGTGTTAGACCAACACAAAAGTCTAAATGTAAAGTTGAAGGATAAATAATTCCTGACTTCCAAATGTTTTCATAAACACAAATATCACAAAATATAACATAGCATTATATGTATAGACCCTCTGTCTCAAAAATAAAACCCAGTACAGCTGCCTGCTTTTAGAATCAATCAGCACAAAGAGTTCCTCCATGAATCATCTCAGTATAAATGCAGCTGTTCTGTGAAGGTGTCAGAAGTTTGTTAGAGAAAATTAGTTAACAGACATCAGAAAAAAAAAACTTTATTGCCTGCTAGTGTTTCAAACATACAAGAAATGTACTTGGAAATAGATTGTGTGAAACAAAGTTGCACAGGAATAGTACGGATAGAGAAAAACAGCATCACTTTTTGACAATGAAGAGCAGTGTAGCATATATATTAAAAACGTAAGAACACAGAAATGTCAGATCAACTTAAACAGAATTTACACGTGCAGAGATATCTGTATCATTAGAAACGAAAATGTCTGTGGAAAATCTGGGCGATATCAATAAGGCCACTTGCAGATGGGAAGCTGTTTTTTGTTGCAAGATGTGCAGATGGACCACAGCCTCCTACCATGATGGGAAAGTCTGAACCAGTTAGTGTCCAGCAGTGTATTAAGTCCGGCGGTTGTGTCCTTCGGACACAGCGTACCTAGACTGGGTCCTTCGAGGTCCGTGAAAATAACAGATCCAGCCTTCTTTGGCTTTCACCACCCCTCACTCAGCATACTCTATGTCGCCTAGCAACCGTGACATTTGACACACAAAGCATGCAAAGAAAAGAACTTCTCACAATTGTTCTGTAGACCAATTACATTTTTCAGAAGCTTCAGCAGCAATACCGTTGTCAAGAATATCGGATAAGCAGTCAGCACACTGCAGAGATATTGGAATCTGTGCTTAAATGTCAGCCAAACCCATTTATACAGAGACAGATAAAACCTTTCAATAAACCAAAGATTACCCGCCACATACCTGACTCGATAACCATTCTAAACAACTATTTTCATTAATTTCATACGGAACTATCCACACACTCACATTATATTAACCTGCACTTAGAATATTCCCCACTGTTTGTGACCATTTCCCTTTTTCCTCTGAACACGGAGCATCAGGCTTGCTTGGACTCGCAATAAATCATGGGACCTGTCCTTCATAGCAGTGGACCCATCCGCCGGATTCGTATTTATCGCAGGTTGTGAGGGGTAAGATGCCAACCTTCCTGCTTGTCTCTGAGCTCTGGAGGAATGCAGGTCTTAAGGAGAAGAAAGACTGCAGGCAATCACCCTCTGTGCAGCAGCGTTTCATATGGGTATGGAGGAGGAGAAGATGGACTAAATGATGGCGGAGTTGAAGTGCGTTGTCATTTTTGCAGGTTAAAGGTTTTCAGATGCTGAGTAAAGTACATCCTCTACTGTACCTTCTTGGTGAGGGGAGGTTATGTTCAACTTCCACTTAAGGTCCTGGGTGATGATGGTGCCCAGAAAGCAGAATGAGTCCACAGCGGGGACTGGAAATGTGCACAAGAAGATAGAGCTTAACACTATTTTCAAAGCATGAATCCACAGACTGTTCTAGCAGCATCAGGTCACCAGATGAGCAACCCCCCACATTAGTGGACTCATCCCCCCCAGTGATGAGGGCGAAAAACAGAGGGAAAAGAACACAACCTTCAGGAGAACAGGTGCTGATGGTCCTACAGTCTGAGATATATTCTCCCAGTTTCAGGTGCTGCTTCCTGTGTATAGGGAATTTCTGATTGACATGCTGGAATTAGAGACGATCAGCTGGGAGCTTATCCAGCTCTAAGTAAAGGATTCGGTCAGAGCACAGAGCCTTGTGTTACGCAGTATAGCCATATTTATTGAAAAGTGAAAAGATTTTTAAAACTTTAAAGCAGGGTTAAGTTAATCCATAGTGAAAGCTTTAAAAAATAATAATAAAAATCACAGAACTCATCTCTATCAATAACAAAAGTTCTTTAAATTTTTAAAATAACTATTAAATCTACAGAAATGTAGGCATCCCCATTGACTTTATTGTAGCAAGAAGAAAGATATTGAAAAAATAAAGATTATAAAACTTTCTGGTTGAAATATCTAGAGTATGTAGGTGACAGAGCAAGCATGAGAAAGAGGATTCCCTGTTCGGACGAAACATTCTAAACCAAACAAAAAATCATTTATATATCATATATTTCTATTTCAGGTACAAAACTAATACTGCATCCCTTCCTTAACATATCCAACCCAGTGAAAGACCATAGCGGTACCAGCATTAAGCTATGGAAATGCCTGGTTTTACATAATGGAAGCTGGTATAGAAGATTGTTGGAGCTAAACACTGGGCAAGACATCATGTTAGAGGCTAGACTTGCTGCTGGGCCAGAGATTCACCTTCCAGCAGGTTCTGTATTGACTAAACAAACAAGCAGCCCTGCAGTAGCAGTTTTACAGGGCTTAGAAACTTTTCAAAGAGGCCCTCCATGAAATCTGTCAACTTTTGAACCAGTTTTAAGGAAGAATTGGCCCAAAGAAAATGGTTTTGTTGATAATTTCCAAAATACTCCCAGCTGTAATCACCACAAAATGCAGTTACAAAGATCTGCACAACTACACTCTCCCTTTTGGTTCGATTTGAAAACCTTGCATCCCTTTCTGCTCTGCTTTGCATTTAGAAACTGCTTAGTGATGGTCTAAAGCTGAAAACTTCAATGATTTCAGAAAGTAGGGCCTGCAAGATAACAGAATTAAGATACATGGGAAAATGAAGTGATTTAATTCATAAAAATCTCAGTAAAGACCTCCAAATGTTCTATGATATCAAACTGTTGATCTTCACCTTTTGTCGCTGAAGCAATAGGGAGTAAAGATAATTTAAAGTGACTTTTCATTTCAAGTAAATCTTATGCATATATTGTAGGTCTCCAATCATATACCATTACCTTCTATTTAGAATTCTGAATGAATGTTTAGAAAAATTAATGAAATGACCATTCATTTTCATAATGACCTTTGGACCTTGACATGTTCTACCCTTAACATACCTCCATCTTGTGGCATAATAAATGTTTGAGGGTTTCCTTTGTGAGGCCAAGTGTGTTTGCTACCACGCAATCAGTTAGGCTTCTAGATAATTTAATATAGTGCAATCTGGAGCATTCATAATGTTGCAGGAAATTCCCCATCACATTAGGTCCTTACGCACTCACGCAACCACACGGCAGCTTCTGCATACAGATAATCAGCCTGTTGATGTTGACTTGAGAAAGTTGTCATCTTACCCTATTGTATATAACTGGCATCTGCGTTGGCTGGCACTGAAAACAAGGGGGGGATCTGTGGGGTAAATCAGGCGCATTTAGGAAGCGGTGCATAGATCAAAACAAAAGCGCGCGCCACCAAGAGGTGCGCAATTTCCCTGGAGCGTCGAACGCTTTTTTGTTTTTTAGGTGGGCACTTCTGGAGAAAAGTTGGAGGTTTGCCTTGCTGTCGCTCCTCGTTAGTATTCTCCACATTCTCCGACAGATTACAGCATTTACATATGAATAGGATTCAGCAGCACTTCAGCAGCACAACAGACACTTTGTGGCTTTCCGGGCCTCCTGGACTGGAAAAACTTGGCCGCAGCACCCATCGGCCGTTCCCATAGAGAAGACAGAAAATCTGCAGTTTGTGCGGAAATGTGCTGGGAACAAAGCATGGGGAGAATACACAGTATGCGGGATCAAAATATTTCCTTAACACCTCCAAAGGAGAGTTATTGGACTCATTTGAAAGCCAATGTAGTGGCTCCGCTGCTGAAGATGAAAAAAGTAATAAAAACAGAGATTTAACCAAAGAGCGACGGAAATCCCCCCAAACTGATTTCAAAATAAAAGTAAAGGCCAATTACTATCAAGAAGGTAGTTATTAGCAAATAACAACAGGAAAAACTATAGCACTAAGAGAGAAACTAATAGTTTGCCTTAAATACTCAGTTCTTAGTGACACAAAAGTCAAAGAAAGAATTGCATTTCTAAACCTTAAGAGCAATGGACAAGTAAAATAGTTAAAATATGTCAATGACAATAGAATATCTAGTCTGTGTATATGACTCTAAAATATATCTAGTGTATTTTTTTTTTTTTTTTATATTAACAGAGCCACAGAACCAGTTAAGATTACCACGCAAGTAATCATTGCAATCTTTGCAAAAGGAAAAAAAACAGTATGTTTTTTTTTTATTATTATTATTATCCCTTTTATCTACTAACTATAAGTGACATGACTTATTTCTCTATTCTTTTAAAACAATTGTACTAGTTTGGCTAATGCTATTATCCATTAGTATTCAGATTATGTCATTCTTTCACTTTAACAAAAATTTAAAAGGAAAAAAAGTTTCCCTCTTAAAAATGTTTACTTTAACATATCTCAGTTGAAAAGTAATTCATTTAAATACATTTATCTTAGTTAACCTGCTGTACTTTAGTGAAAGCATGGCAGGTTTACTTTAATCAACTTAAAAGAAGTTTAGATCATCTGAGTTACCATAACTGGAGTCCAATGGTGCAGGATAAAGAAACTAAAAAAGGAAGATAACCAAATACATGTTTGAAGTTAATTGCTAATATTATTATAACATATATATATAAAATATGTGTCCAGGTCTTCATTGTAAATTGGAATTAGTTGTGAGCTGTCCTAATCTGTAAAACAGAGGTTAGAAAAATAAAGTCACTGTTGTTCTATTCAACCTTGGTTCTCTCTTGCCTCATTAGATGTATTCCACTTATTTCTTTTCACTTTTCTGGTATAAAAAAAACAAAAAACTTTCAGTATTTAAAATTTGCTGTCACAATATCGCCTGCCATGGATATTATTTTGGAAAGTCAGATGTACAAAAGTGAGTATCTGATCTTTTCAACTTTTCATAGAACAAAAATACACTGTATTACAGCCAAAAAATACCATGGATAAGTAATGTTATTTTGATAATGCTGAAATTTTAAGCTAAAAATATATGTCAATGCTTTTACTTAACCCCCCACCCCCACCGCCACCACAAAAAATAAAATGAGCATACGGCTTTTTTGTAAGAAAACAAAAAGATCAAGTTCAATAAAAGAATATAAATATGTAAATAATTTTTTGTTCTGTTTTCACTTACCTTTTTTTTTCTCTAAACCGCTTCAAAAAAATTATAAGAGTGTATTATTTTGAAAGTTTTACCGGAAGCTAACAATTTCTACTGATAAAATTGGCATCTCATTAAGCTCTACATTTTTCTGTTGCATTTCTCCAGTTTTCATATTATTTCTATGGTCTACTTATACAAAGTTACGCAAACACTAATTTTATCTTTTGTCTCTTTTTTTTCCGTTGGCAAACGGCAAAAGAAAAAAAATTCATGATTACTTTTCTTGTCATTGCCAAGCAAGCGGTGTTTAGTCAGAGTAAGACAACGGTTTATAAGTGACAATAGTTATTAAAGGTCGTGTCAGTGGATGCAGAACCCACGGGAACAGGTTATCCCTCTTACCGTGGGCCAAGCGGACCAGAGTGGGCAGGCGGTACTTGCTGACCACCGCGTCCAGCGGCAGCGCCAAGGGGCACCAAGTGATCTCCGACAGGCTCGCCGACAACTTCTCCATCCTCCCGGGTCATCACGGTGCCGGAGATAACGGCAACGGTGACGGTAAAGTTGGTGTCTGTGGTTGAGACGGTAACGGCGAGGCGGAGGACGGTGACCGAAGGGGTGTAACGGAAAAGAGTTTCGCCATGTTTGAATAATGCAGGAGAGAGGAGCCGAGCGGAGCTTCGCTCGGTGCGCGCGGAGAGGAGGGGGAGAGGGTGCGCTGCGCTCCCACTCGGTCAACCGGTTTCTGCCTGCTGCCTCCCCCACGCGAGCGTTAAAAATCAAGTCAAACATTTAATGTGGCCAAAGAGTGTTTTGTAACACCGGCAGAGGCGCTTGTTGCACACAGTCAATGGGAAAATAAGTTTCCATGACTTTTGGTTCAGCAATAAATCTAAATGAAGAACAACCTTGATGAAGCCAGGTGTGGCTAATTAAACGCACCTAATGAAGTGACTCTAAAGTACTACTTAAGTCCCTACTGTAGGGACTCCCTCCCTTTGCTGCTCTAGAACATACAGGGCCAGGGTTGAAAGAGCAGCAATTTCTTTCCATTTTTCTGTAAATGGGTTAAAATACCACTATCAAACAGGGGCGGAGCTAGATGGGGGGCCAGGGGTGGCCATGGCCACCCTACCATTTTTTTCTCCCTGTAATACAGATGGTGGCAGCAGTAATACTCTCAAGTGGAATATTTAAAACATTTATCAAAACACACACACACAAATAAAAAAAAAACACTGTGGTTAATTATGCGCATCAATATACTAACATTAAAGATAAGTACAGAATTAATGCTTTTTTCAGAACTAGTTTTTGTGTTTTTTGAGGTAAAGAGAAAATTATGTGTCTCTGCAAGTCATCTAAGCGTCTACTGTAAAATTATTGATAAATACCTATTTTAATAAAATGTATAAAATAATTTAGGTATTAGTACTTGTAAATATCAATTTTATGCAGAATGATTATTGTAAATGACCCGATTTCCAATTTATTTACAAGACATATTACAATGTGAAGTTATTTATTTATTTTTGCTTCCATTAATTTTGTGAATATACAATGCTTTACATTTTACCTTGTTTTAAGAGGCTTTATTTTGAAAGTACGTGACGTTTTTAGTTAGTGGCTACAGCGAGATACGGAGAAGAAGAGTCTGAAATTGAAACGTAGAAAAAGAAGGAAAGAACGTTAAAATATTACTTCTTATTTTAAGGACTCGCACCCTCTGAAGTGGCACAAGGTTAGTCCTTATTTGATAAGACATGTTTAATATGTGTTCATGTGTTTAGAAATGCTTGTGAAGAACTTTTTTTTTGTTCGTTATTAAGTCTCTGTAGCTTATGTATAACGGGCGGATTTTACATAGTAACGGCCAGTACCGTAATACATTTTTTCTTCTGTGCTTTGCCTAGCTCTTACGTTGGTCGGTTAAAAGGATTATTGTGGACAACGCTGATACATTTATAAACAATAAAACCATCAGTCAAGTGCTGACCATCATTCGGGGGAGATGCGACAATTATTGATACAAGTAGGTAAGTAATGACAATGGAAAAGATGTGCACCCAAAACTCAAAGAATTGTATTCACTATACCTTTTATCTAGGAAACACAGATGTTTAAATATGTATGTCTATTTGTCAGCAACGGTTGTAGAAAAATATAGCCTTTATTTAGACCAGGGGTCTTCGTTTTCCAGGCCAAGGACCCCCAAACTGATGACAAGATGGAGCGGGGACCCCCTAATTATACATATTGTATGAAATTGTGTTATATCAACCTGGCCCTATAGTCACTCTATTACAGATGGAGTAATGTAAGGAAAGTAATTTCTTCCTGGGATTATTAAAGTATTTCTGATTATGATTCCTGGTTGATGGGACAGGTGTTGTGAATGAAACGGTGCCCAGCTTGAAAGAGCTCCTGTGTGTCGCTGAATCTGAGCATTGATGACTGAAAGACATCTTCTGCCTCCATTTATCTGTTTACTACAGTGTTTAGAATTCATGTTAATGTGGATTTAAAGACATTTCAATTCAGGAGGGAATATAAAAAATAAAAAAAAATGAATCAACCAAAAGTTTCGTGACCCCCATGCAGTGCCTCCACGGACCCCCTGTTGAAGACCTCAGCTGTAGATTATTTCATACCAAACTTGCACCTCATGCCTAAAATGTCATGTTTTTCCTCTTGGTCTACAAAGATAAAATGTTTTTTGGATTGTAAATCGTAGGAAACGAAAATCCAGGCTTAATGGTATCAGTGAAACCTAATCTATATCATTATTATTATTTGAACTTTACCTAATTTCCCTTCATGGTATTTTTTCATCACCTCATGGGTCTAAAAGTATGGCCTAATGTGGGACTGTTCATAGCACTCTGTTCTCAGAACCAAAATGTACAGACAGCTGTTCATTGATTTTTGACAATGAGGCAGTTGTAAAGCTAAATCCATTTAGCAGGACTGCAGAATACGGACCTTAGCAGAATTATGTAACTAAGTTAAATGTTTATTTTTATCCAAGTGTCAATCAAAGCAGGGAAATATTTTTAAAAAGTTTGGATTCCTACTATATGATGAAATAACATCCCACCTTTCCCGGAATCACTAACCACATTTAAAACCCACTCTGCACCAAATAGAGACATATTCCCAGTTCAACTACCGGTAGTTAAAATGCAAACCCAAAGTGCAACTGGCTATAAATAGCTTACTCATTCCTTAAATGGAGCAAAGACTACAACTTAAGTTTAGATCCGTCTAAAAGGACCAAAGCTTAAACAGCGCTGAAATACTTGCATGTTTAAAAGTAAATTTTTTCCCATCTCCTATTTTGTACCATGTTTAAAATCCAGTACCATTTGAAAAACATTTATATTGGGATAAAAAGACTGTTGGTAGAATGTAGAATACCGGTATATGGATCCTTTGTATGAAGGTTTACCAATTAATATAATTTAAAGAGAACATCTGGCTGCCCAAAACTAGCAAAGTAAACAGTCTAGAATATGTCACACCTACAATGACAAAAAAAAAGTCAAAACGCCAAAAGTGGAGGTCATACATTTTATTTGATCCATATTAACAAAAACTGAAATATGAAGAGAGACTTCAGGATTGATG